GCGCATGCGCAATAGCGTCCCTCGTCGCGGGGAAAATAAACAAGTCTTGCACTGAGCGAACCGCGATGCTAAATCTAGCCTAGGCCCAGAGAAGTCCACACAGGCTTGGTAGATACCAGCCTATGCAGCGGGGTAGCAGGAGTGAACTACATGTAAGCAGCTAGAATATTTTAGGCCTACACATTCATACTTTCATAACAGCTTCCTGGAGTGGGTGGCAGTATATATATAAAAAATGAATTTCAATTTTGTAAAACACAAAAATTAGGCCTAAACATGAAAAATGTGAGCCTACAGCCTATTTATCCCCAAACGATATATAGGCCTAACGGCTAAGCCTACAAAATTGTTTTCATGTTCAATTTTGTGATTTCCACTCGATGGCCGGTATTCCTGATTTATTACCAATTATTTTTAGTTGATAATATTTATTATTTGTTTAATAAGTTTATTAATAATTATTATTTCTCTCTTTTTACAGAAACAACGCAAATGCAAGTCGATTGGTTTGAGACACGTATTGTCATTGTTGTGTTTCCCGATTATTTGACCATGTTTAAAATGCTTAATAAAATGAAGATTTATGAAATTAGCATGTCATTTGTTTTGCATATGATTGTTTGCTGCCTTTCCATATCATGTTTATAATATTAATAGTACTGTAGTATAAATAAAAATAAAATATACTGTGATTTGATGAAGTAGGGCGGCGCCAGGAATTCCCGACGAGGAGCGGTCTAAGCTCCCTGATAAAATTTGTAGAAGAATTTTTTTTTTAAATTCAAAAATAACATTTTGTGTTAATTATGGGATTTTTTATCCCGTCAAAAGTACCAGCCCCCAGTCGGGGAAGAGCTGGCACCACCACTGCAACCCATACGATCGTAACAGTACGGTATACAATACCACGCATATCGTACTTATAGCACTGCACTACAGTTTTTAATCCCTACAATTTGACAGCTTACCAAGGCATGTAATTTCGGGACTCGAGATTTCATTTTTCCCCCAACGACCCTGCTGGAATTTCCCCGACAGGGGTCCAAATGTCCCCGACGGGAGTCCTTTGCCCCGCCAGCGCCGCCCCTTTGATAAAGGGGATGGACTATTAAAGTTCCCCGAAGAGCCCACGCCCGTTCCCACGGTACTCTTTAGGTAAAGCTCAAACAAGTTTTGTACTTCCTTTATCTTTCTATTCACTCTGATGAGGCCTATTACAGTACCTGTACTAGTTGCTTGGACCATGTACTATAAAAATACTGTATCAGAAAGAATCGTTATGTTCCTACAAACAAATTTCCACGGTACACTTGAGGGTGAAGCAGACATATTTTTGCACGCCAGCTTCAGGAAAGTGGGAGCACTTCCACAGGGTAGATGCTAAACATAGACGACTGGCTATTTTTAGGTGCAACGCATGTAATGGTAGTCAACATGTAGTGTGCGTTTACCTAATAATTATTAATTATTGTCAAAATATTGAATCCCAACACGATGGCGTGTACTTCAATACTGTACTTGTGTATGTATTATACTTTTTTATTGCATATATTTTACAAAAATCAGATAGCCTATAAATGCATATTTGATTGAACAAATTAATTCAATATTGTAACAAACACATTGGCCTTTATTATGAAGCATTCATAAATTGAAAAGTTACTACTGTATAAAAAAAAAATGTATTGTATATATGTCCGATCGCACTTCACTTCTGGGACTGCAAGAAAAGAACATAGTTTTCAATACAGAACACACATTATTTATTTCTTGTTTAACCTGGTTTAACAACATCCGTTAAAACCAACTGTTATCCTTATGACCAGGATAGCTACAGTACTGTTACGTACTAAAATGAAAACATATGATCAGAACATTAATGGTAATGGAAACGCAACAAACAAGAAAACAAACGTATGACAAACAATAACTATCACTGATCTAAAAAAAAATCGACTTACATTTGCATTGTTTCTGTAAAAGAGAAAAATATTAAACACCAATTAATAAACTGTAATATCAGTAATCAAATAAAAATAATTGGTAATAAATTTCCAGGAATACTGGCCATCGAGGGGATTTGCATTCACAAAATTAAACATCGAACAATCTTGTAGGCTTTTTGGCCGTTAGGCCTATATATAGTTTGGGGGAGGCCCTAAGCTAAACATTAATTAATTTTTGTGTTTTACAAAATTGAAAAATTCATGTTTTATTCTGCCGCCTCGGACCAGGGAGCATACAAGTATGAAGGCCTACAATGTAGTCCACGCTATTCCTAGCTGCGTACATGTAGTTCACTCCTAGCGCTTCCGCTGCATAGGCTGGCATCTACCAAGCCTGTGTGGCCTTTCTCTGGTCCTAGAGATAGGCCTAGGCTAGAATTAGCGTCGCGGTTCGCTCAGTTCAAGACTTGTCTATTTTCCCAGCGACGAGGGACGCTATCGCGCATGCGCTAGCGATCGTCGTAAGAATAGCATTGGGAACTATTTTCACAACTCGTCGTAAAAATAATCACTGCGTAAAAAAAATGGCACCTAACTTTTTTTGAATTCAGGACACCAAAAATGACAAAGCTAGCCAATAAAATCCATTTTGGCACAAAAATAACTGGAGCCCACAATTTGTGACATAGCAAACCATACTATAAACTTAAGCATGGTATCCACCTTACCTCATTCACTAGCGAGCGTTTGAATTTCGTGCCCCGCGCGATTCCTATGTCCGTTGAAGAGGACACTTCACTGGAGGTGATGGGGTTTCTGGATCAGCTACAGGTTCGGTTAGCTTAGCAGGAGAATGTGAACTCAGGGTTTTCGTGTTTTTTTTTTCGATGGCATCGTGATAAATTATAGTGTAAATATTGTTTAGAACATTTACCAGTAAAAATATAAATGCGATCGATTCAGTAATATGTTGATTTTTAATGTTAGTTGACGGAGCAAAATTTTAGTTGTTGTTCACCTCATCGCGCCCTCTAGCGTGTTGATGATCATTGGGCTTATTCGACTGGTTCATTTCGTTGAGTGCGAATTTTCGTTGAGTATTATTTTCGTTCGACTGGTTCGTTAAGTAGACTTCGTTAACAACGAAAATTAACGTAAACCAAAATGCGTTAATCAGCGTAAGTTATGTGACCAAAACAAACATGGCCGATTGGTGAGTTTATAAACAACATTTGCGTTAATATAACTTAGATTAAATATTTACCCACATGGAGTCAAAAAATATCTGTAGGTTAACAGAATTCAAAAACTGGATGAAAATATTTTTTTTACGAAAAACCCATACTACCACAAGTTGAAGCAATCTTGATTACGCAACGTGTATCGCGGTAACTATACATCCATTTTGTTTTGTCGAGTATTCACAAGTGTTCTATTCGACTGGTTGTCTTCGATGAGTAGGACCTTACGCTGCGCAGGTGGGCGCAGTTTAACGTAGAACGACCAGTCAAATACGGCCATTGTCATCATCAACTTCACCATCATCATCCTCACCAGCGCCTTAAATGTTTTTATTATTATTATCATTACCACCGCCACTATCATCATAAGCATCAGCATCGTCATCATCAGTTTTCTTCTTTTTTTTTTTCCTCACTTCAATATTTCCACTGCCACCCACCAAAATTGTGTATAAATTCATATTCATTAAAATATAATTGTCAAACCTTGGGAGTGCTTGTGATAAATTCTAGAAAAGTTCCTTTCCTTAAATCAACAAAGCTGGACAAATTTCTTTTTCGGCATAAGCTACTCTCGATTTTTGCTAGGTCCATAAGAGTTGGGACTTCCTGAAGACGATTAAAAAATGTTTCCACATCGCTTGTAATTTCCTCTGTCAAAAAAAAAATACATTAGAATATTAAATGCAATTTAATAAATAATTGACAAATTTATATGCAGGATTTGTGGGTTGAAAATTGGCATCTGTTCCCATATATTTGCCATGAATAGGCCTCCTACTAATACAATAATAATATATTTTGCTATTTGTAATACTTTGCAAAAAGGAATGTTTATACAGCAATAATTTACCTTGATCAGGAATTTTATTTGCACACACGGATGCTTCCACCTCAACTGTTTCTTCTTCCATTTGTTCTTCATTCCCAGCAGGCACGTACTCCTGAGGAAATTCCATGTTACCAAGGCATATAGCAAGCTGGAAAAGGTTTCTTGCAAGATTGTTGTTAACGATTGATGGAAGTGCACGGAAAAAACTTCGAAGACTAGATTCTTGTTTTAAAAGCGGCTGAGCATTTTCAAACACTTTAAGAATAGCTTCCGCAGCAGTCATATCAGCATAGCGCCTCCTATTATCCAATCGAGAGCGCTTTCCAGTATTTGCCGGCTCAAGAATTGATTTCTTTACACTTGCCAACGATGCTTCCGCCTCTTGCTTTAGTTTTGACATGAGAGCTAAAGAGCATTCGCCTAGCGTATTCTTCTCTTCTCGTTTAGCCTTCTTTATAACCTATACAGTATGACCCAAGTAGACATGTGCATGATGTTAGAAATGCTGGTTAGAAAACGAATATTAATATCTATGGATAAACAAAATGTATCTGAAACTATTTAAAATCGAGTACAATGTTGTAAATATTTTTTAATAAATATAATCTATAAACATTAACCAGCAAGACATTCAATTAAGAAAATAAAGAAAGGTATGATACTGTAATGATGTCTATTTGAATAACATTATTTTATTGAGTAAAATGAATGTATATGTACTTACTGTCACCCCTAAAGCAACACTTTGAACACGGATTCCAAGTTGATAGGGATCGGAAACTCTATAGTGCTCCTGTAAAAACTCCAAGAAATCTTTCAAATCAACCTTGTCTTTCCACAAGTCATGTTCTCCCATATAATCCATCAGAAGACCCAATATATCCAATGTAGTCACTTTCATAATATCATCATCAGATTTACATGGAGGAAATTTAAACAGAGTGTAGACTGCAGGAAATTTAGAGAGCGGTCCAACATTTAATTCTTCGAAAGAGTCTTTACCATCTTGAATGTTTCCTAGGTCTTTGAGAAGCTCAAAGAGTGTTGCAATAGAACGACATTTACAGAAGGCAGATATATATGCATTGATTTGACAAAGTAAGCGTTCATGATTATAAATTGCTGTAAGATCTGTTGCTTTTTTTAGCCCCAACTGTTGGACCTTTGTTTTACCAAAGTGCTCCATCACCCCCTTCATAACCAAATCTACACTGACATGTTCATTTTGTTCGGCTAGTGCTTGAATATGGAATAAAGCTCGGGAGTTAACACTATCTTTAGTTGGTATTTTTCCATCATTTATATATTGAATTCCAGAGGTACTTAAGTGTTCAAACTTAATCCTGCGATTTTCGGCTTCGGCTTTTAGGTCTCTCTTGGTTTTTTTCTTTGTTTTCTTTATTTGCTTTGTTGAGTCACTTGGGTTTAATGCTGGCTCATCACTGTCCCCTGCAATAGAAGAATCAGCAGCTGTTGTGCCGGACATTTTGTTTCCGATAGCGTTTGTATCTGTGCTAGGTGCTTTGGATTGTAAACTTTGGTTGGATTCATATGTGGGTGGCATCAAAGGACTTTGTCGAGGGAGAGGAGGGCGCATTTGTGGAGCTTTTGAATACATCACCATTCCTGATTGTTGAGCTCCTGTAGTTAGTTGATGTGTCTGTTGAATCTGTGGTGGACCATGGGAATACATCGGTGGCGGTCCTGATTGCTGAACTCCTCTCCAATGAGGATGTGCCTGAGGAAGTGCTGTTGGAGGCTGTCGATACATTGCTGTTACGGATTGCTGCTGAACTCCTCCCCACTGTTCATGTCCCTGAGTACTTACTGTTGAAAATTGTGGATGCATTGATTGCTGAAATCCTTCCCTCTGATGGGGCCCTTGAGGGGGCAATGGTGAAGCCTGTGGATACATCAGTCTTGTTCCTGGTTGCTGAGTTCTTGTCGGCTGACGAGGTCCTTGATGGAAAGAAAGTAATGGTGGAGTTCGTGGATAAGGCAATGTTGTTTCTGATTGCTGTGTTCCTGTCGACTGACGAGATTCTCTGTTAGTTGACATGAATTCATCTTCCTCCTCTTCTTTCCTTAGTTGTAACATTTCCGTCCCATTTTTATCTACTATTTCAATGAAATCAAATACATCCGGTAGACCTCTAATGCCATTGATTCCAATTCCACACAACTTGAGCTTTTTTTGAAATTGCGTATTGTATTTTCTTGCTAGGTTGTGCAGTGGAATTCCAGAAGGATTTAGATCAAGAAGTTTCTGAAGGTTTCTCCTAATTTCATCTTTCTTTTGATGGGATGCCATCGTGTCTTTTTAAATAGACCTAATTATAGAAATCATATTATAATTGATATTATACACAATACGAACTTGATAATTTGATTTGATAGAGGTTTTATGTGGTTTTATTGATATGAGAGAAATAACTAATAAAAATCTCGAACTGAGTACATGCCTAATTTTTCAACTTTCATTCAAACAAAAGATTTTATTTCTTGAACTGATAAAGGACACATAAAATAATAGCGTATTCTTTGCTTAGGTTCTTTAATTATCTGCTAGTCAACGTCGGATAGAAAGTCTGTAAATAATCAAAAAAGCAACTGTTGATCTATATTTTATTGTAAAGTAATATTACATTCAATTTAATTCAGTTATATACAAAAAATCACACACTAACTTTACATCATAGACACGGCTGATATCCTTGGTCAGGGTTCGCTGAGGACCTTGGGGAGGCACAGGGTCGAAGCCCCGTAAGCTATGGCTATTTGGATTTACTGTATAAGGTTTTTCCTGGACGAGGGCCCGACCAAAGAGATAGGGATGGGGTTGGAGGGGGGGGGGGCAGGTCTCTCAAACTGGCCCCTTTCCCACCACCCTTAGTCGATAAAATGGTAGGTTTAACGTAGGCAGTTTCTTAATAGGCCTACGAGTAATCTAATTTAGGATTTCCATTGAAGTTTGCAGGCCCAGGTAGGCCTTACCACCATCAATAATATATCTTTAAACTTATTGTATGGCTGCTAAGTCACATATCATGCAATCAGATACAAACAAAACCGACAAACTCTGTGAATGTCCACTGTCTAGCTGGCCAAGGAGGTAGGCATATTACTACCTCCTTGATCTAGTGAAATTATACAGTAAGAGCCCAATATGTGGTTTTGTATGGATAAGTATTTACTGATGTATGTTATGTGTATTTCATGTATATGTTTAATTGCATTTTTTAATGTACGAATATATGTTCTGGGGCGGATGCATAGCGTGGGATGGGGGGGGGGGGGTTACAGATGGTGCGATGGCACCCCCTAAATTGTATTAAGAAAAATAATTGTTGTATTAAGTGTTGATGTGTTATTGGTAGGATTTTTAAGGTATACGAGTGCAATTTCCGGGCACCCAGAAATCCAGATTCTCAAAATTATCGCACTCTCACGCACCCATGTGCGCAAATCATGGGGGAAGGGGACGTCTTCCCACATATTTTTAATTGGGGAAGGATTGGTCCCCTCACCTTTCGTGAGTCAAAACAAGATGCCTGAAAATTGTTGAAATAAACTGCATAAATAACCCAGGTTTTAACGAATGAACGCTGTACAGCCAGAGTACATCTTATTTATTGGCAAGATACTGGTATCTCTGCATACACAAACATCTGAATTACTTACAATACACGACTCGAGTGCGCATACCTTTATTATAATTTGAGAATATGAGAAAAAGCGTGCAAAGATAAGGGATTTTCGGCACATGAAGTAGGTAAAATAAAGTACCGTAAATACAGCAAAAACAATTAAGTTTTATATTCTATGGTACATCACAACGATTAACTATCGATGATGATGAACTTCACTAAATAAGAGTCGTGTCATATCCGGCAATCTAGATGTACAATTTTCCAAAATTTTTACCATCTCAGCACCACCACAGGGTGGGCTCAAGGTCTTGAAGTAACATCAAAGACAATGTTTTTAAGCTTTATTTTCTATGGTATATAATAACAATAACAACAACAAAAACAACAACAACAACAACAATAATAATAATAATAATAATAATAATAATAATAATAATAATAATAGTAATAATAATATTAATAATAATAATAATAATAATAATAATAATAATAATAATAATAATTATTATTATTATTATCATTATTATTATTAAATCGTGGTGTGATGATGAGATG